TAAATGTGACACACAAATAGGCAAGTATTGTGACCAATTTTTTGTCACTGTAATGTGCTTCCAGTGGTGACTGTTTTTTTAAAAGTATCTCTGGAGTGTCTGCCATAATTCAAAACTCTGGCCAGTGAACTGGCCATCTTTAGAAAGCCATCTCACTTCTTTGTATTAGAGAATACATGTGTGCTCGACGCCCATGTCCTCACAGAGTTGTGGAAACAGACATGAGTTAAGGGCATGTACTTTAATTTTAATCACATCCCTCAAAACATTGTTAAGTTCAGGTGACATTTTTTTGGCTAGCCAGCATTTCTGTATGGATCTCACAGGCATAGACTCACATTCAGAAACAACCTCTTCGACCAACTAGTAAAGCCAGAAAGTCATCCTGTCATAGCAGCCACTGTTTCAGTGCATATACTGAGAAAACGACCAATTCAGTTTTCCCGTTAGTACTCATGCAATGACTTGAATAGTCTGCGACTGGTGTTGGCTGGCAAAAAGAAAAAAAATATGCATGTAATGTCTCCTCATGCACATCTCTCAAAAAATATATCCCATAGAAACAAGCATCATTGCCTCGTTGTTCACATTGGTACACTTGTCAGCCTGAATTGTGTACCATCGTGACTAATCCTCTCCAACAGTTGTGCCTCAATATCCTGCTATTTCATCAGTTCCTGTAGTTCTGGTGCTAGCCAAAAGAGAAACACATGCCACCTTTTGAACTGTAGCCTCTCCGAAAGTTCATGACAGATATCTTTAGCAGCAGACAAAATCAACTCTTCACCAATGGTAGAGGGCTTCTTAGCTATAGCAATGTGTTTAGCCACTAAGAATGATGCTCTCAGTGCAGACACTTTTTTTTTTTTGGAAAGGTTTTTGCTGTAGGGCGCGTGTACTCGCGGGAAAGACAGTGAGACAGAAAGCAAGAAATCACCCCCAAGGGGTGATGGCCATGCTATGGTCCCTCTCCATTCTCTTCTCGGGATCTTGGGCACGCACACACACACACTGGCATGGGTGTAAGCCACTGGGTCCAGGACTCAAATTGCAGTTGACTGCATGGGAGTCCAGCGACATAGCCATTACGCTAACTGCTGGTCTCAGTGAAGACAGTTCTGATGAAGTGATAGCCTTCAGTAATTGCTTCCGTTCTTCATGTTCACATAGTTTTCTTTTGAAACACTCCAAAGGCATGTCTTTTAATGCAAGGTGCTAGGTTTCCATGTGGTAAAGCAGTTTTGAAGGCAGTGAACCTGTAATTTAAGAACTCTCAGTATTTTCTTTTAAATGCAGATTTCTTTTTGCTGGCAGCCTTAGGCTTCTGCTGTCTCCATCATAGGGTCTTTTCTCCTTTTCAAAGACACTCTCCAGTGATTGTTTTTTTACTCATGGCTAAGGTTAACTTGTGGGGTTATCAAATTTTTGACTCAGACATGTGCACAGTGCAGGGAAAGAAGTGTGGATACAAGTGGTAAAATAATGGGCAGGTAATACATGGACAAAAGTAAATACTGGATTCTGACTTTCAGCCTGCCACCAGCAGGTTAAATGTGACACACAAATAGGCAAGTATTGTGACCAATTTTTTGTCACTGTAATGTGCTTCCAGTGGTGACTGTTTTTTTAAAAGTATCTCTGGAGTGTCTGCCATAATTCAAAACTCTGGCCAGTGAACTGGCCATCTTTAGAAAGCCATCTCACTTCTTTGTATTAGAGAATACATGTGTGCTCGACGCCCATGTCCTCACAGAGTTGTGGAAACAGACATGAGTTAAGGGCATGTACTTTAATTTTAATCACATCCCTCAAAACATTGTTAAGTTCAGGTGACATTTTTTTGGCTAGCCAGCATTTCTGTATGGATCTCACAGGCATAGACTCACATTCAGAAACAACCTCTTCGACCAACTAGTAAAGCCAGAAAGTCATCCTGTCATAGCAGCCACTGTTTCAGTGCATATACTGAGAAAACGACCAATTCAGTTTTCCCGTTAGTACTCATGCAATGACTTGAATAGTCTGCGACTGGTGTTGGCTGGCAAAAAGAAAAAAAATATGCATGTAATGTCTCCTCATGCACATCTCTCAAAAAATATATCCCATAGAAACAAGCATCATTGCCTCGTTGTTCACATTGGTACACTTGTCAGCCTGAATTGTGTACCATCGTGACTAATCCTCTCCAACAGTTGTGCCTCAATATCCTGCTATTTCATCAGTTCCTGTAGTTCTGGTGCTAGCCAAAAGAGAAACACATGCCACCTTTTGAACTGTAGCCTCTCCGAAAGTTCATGACAGATATCTTTAGCAGCAGACAAAATCAACTCTTCACCAATGGTAGAGGGCTTCTTAGCTATAGCAATGTGGTTAGCCACTAAGAATGATGCTCTCAGTGCAGACACTTTTTTTTTTTTGGAAAGGTTTTTGCTGTAGGGCGCGTGTACTCGCGGGAAAGACAGTGAGACAGAAAGCAAGAAATCACCCCCAAGGGGTGATGGCCATGCTATGGTCCCTCTCCATTCTCTTCTCGGGATCTTGGGCACGCACACACACACACTGGCATGGGTGTAAGCCACTGGGTCCAGGACTCAAATTGCAGTTGACTGCATGGGAGTCCAGCGACATAGCCATTACGCTAACTGCTGGTCTCAGTGAAGACAGTTCTGATGAAGTGATAGCCTTCAGTAATTGCTTCCGTTCTTCATGTTCACATAGTTTTCTTTTGAAACACTCCAAAGGCATGTCTTTTAATGCAAGGTGCTAGGTTTCCATGTGGTAAAGCAGTTTTGAAGGCAGTGAACCTGTAATTTAAGAACTCTCAGTATTTTCTTTTAAATGCAGATTTCTTTTTGCTGGCAGCCTTAGGCTTCTGCTGTCTCCATCATAGGGTCTTTTCTCCTTTTCAAAGACACTCTCCAGTGATTGTTTTTTTACTCATGGCTAAGGTTAACTTGTGGGGTTATCAAATTTTTGACTCAGACATGTGCACAGTGCAGGGAAAGAAGTGTGGATACAAGTGGTAAAATAATGGGCAGGTAATACATGGACAAAAGTAAATACTGGATTCTGACTTTCAGCCTGCCACCAGATGTAGCATAATTGTCATTTGCCACTCACTGCCAAGGTTTTTATATGAATCTGCAAGCATTTGATGTATGGTCTCTGTATGGTCAGTGTTCTCTGCTAATGTTAGGCAGTATTTGTAACCGCTCTCCAGCACTATAATAGTATCACTGCCTCAGCTCCACCTCAGATCATCAGGTATTAAATTATCTTAAGGAACATGCAACCTAGAACCCTCACATGCACAGTTCACAATAGGGTTCATGCTCCTAGGAGAATCTAATGCTGCTGATCTGACAGGAGGTTGAGCTCAGGCACTAATATAAGCGATGAGGGGCAGCTATAAGTACAGATGAAGCTTTTCTTGCCCACCCACCACTCATCTCCTACTGGGTGGCTCAGTTTGTCACTGATCCTAGACCCACCACCTAGGCCTTGGGAACCCCTGCTGTATAGAACTGAGAACAGCCAGAGCTAGGGAAAAATCATTGCATGCAGTGTGTAATGAATATATGGAACATGTTGAATGGGGTCAGTGAAGTATATAGATGTCATCAAAAAAATTTAGGAGATAGAGAATTTCTAAAATGGTATATTATACATACTTTTTTTTTAAAAAAAGAAGGAACCCTTTTTTTTTTTCACTCAGGTTTATAATTTTTGTACCTTTCATTTGGTTCTGTAAATTTTCTTATAAATTTTCTCTTCCCATGCACAATAAGATTACACTGTAGTTTGAAAATGTCCCTCCAGAATTCATTTGTTGAACCATAATAACAGGATCAAGAGAGTAAAAGCTTGATCCAATTATGGTGTAGAAAGATGGGGCTTTGGGAAGATTCATGATTGAGTCCTAGTGTGTTTATAAGGAAAGGAGATGAGGCAGGAAAGGACCACATGGATATAGACCGTGCTCTCCTTTGCTCAAGGTTCTGCCCCCTGACATTTTGTGATGCATTTGAATCTTACACACAGCCAGAATCATGGGTCAATAACCTTTCTTTCTCTCTCTCCTTTTTTTTTTCTTAGAGGTTTTTATTGTGAAACACATGCACTTGCTAGAGAGACAGAGAACAGAAAGTGAGAAATCACTACCCAGGGGGATCACTATGCCTGAGTCCTTTCTCCTCCATTTTCCTCAGGGTTTTAGACATGCATGCACATGTGCCTGGCATGAGTTTGAAGCCATCCAGTCTGGGACTGAAACCATGGTCAACTATGTGGCAGTCCAATGACATAACCATTACACCATCTACTGGTCTCTTTATTTCTTTTAGGATTTTTGCCATTGGGCACATGTCCTCACTGGAGAGAGACAGAGAGAAGAAAAGTAAGAAATCACTCACCTCGGGGGATGGCCACATCAGTCCCTTCTCTCTGGATTTGGGGCAGACACACACACACACCTGGCATGATTTTCAAGCCACCAGTCCCAGACCCAAACCACGGTCAGCCATGTGGGAGTCCAGTGCTTTAATTACCAGACCACCTGGTGGCCCCAAACCTTCTTTCTTTATTGATCATTCAATCTCAGATATTTCTGTTGGCAACACAATAATAGGTCAAGACAGGCCTATGTAAGTAGAGTGACTCTTGAAAGAACTGTGTTCAGAAGTGCTTGAAAACATTATAGAAAATTTGATTATGAAAGCCCAGCAGAGACAAAGCACAAAATAATACCAAGATACTAAGAGTTAAAACTAAAGCTTCCTGGAGCCAGCAGATGGTGTAGTGGTTGCTGGACTCCCACAGAGCCAACCAAGGTTTGAGTCCCAGACCTTTTGGCTTACAATCCAGGCACCTGTGTGTGTGTGCCCAAGATCTCAGAGGGAGAATGGAGAAGAGATTGCAGCATGGCCATCCCTCCCCTGCCCCCAGGGTATGATTTCTTACTTTCGTCCTTTTCTTTCTCTTTGTCTCTGCAGTGACCACACACAATCTATGGCAAAAACCTCTTAAAAATTGAAAAAAAGTAAAATAAAAAAAACTAAAATTTCTTTCCTTTGCATGATTTATTCTTGCAGTCTCTCGTGTGTTGGTATTATTTACTCACTTACTCTAAATAATCTTTTATATACTTGATTTTTTTTTGTACAATAGAAAGGAGCGATATAATAGTTAACACTAATTTTATTTTTGCTGTTATAAGCACTGTTCTACAGGACTCATTTACTACATATCTTTTAATTCTCCCATTAGTCCCATGAAGTAGGTACTACATTGCCACCTCATTTTGGCAGTGATAAAACTAGGACCTAGAAAGATCATGCAGTTTGTAAATGGCAAACATTGACTTTTAACTCAGACCGTCTGACCTCAGTATTTACCTTCTTACTGATGTTACACAGCTTATTAGTTTTGTGAAGGGTTGATGAATATATTCAGCAGCTAAAATTAAGAATGACTTAATATTTCTAGCTGCTGCCTTAAAGAACAAGGCTCTCTAAGTTGGCATAGGCACAGTAACGGAAAGTTTCGACACATTGTGCATTTTATAAATTGAGGTCCTCGATCCATCCAGCAAACATGGAGCCCTTATTAAGAGAGCCTGCACTGGGCTACAAACATCAGACTTCAGAATGACTAAACATAGATTCTGTCCTCTAGTAGCTTACAGTGAGTATAGTGAGAGGGATAGACATATTACCATAGTATAATGTGATGCATAGTACTGTAACAGACAAGGATATCACCAGGGGAGGTCAGTAGACGGTTCAGAGGAATATTGATAACCAAAGTGGGTTTTGAAGGATGAGTCATATTTACCTAGTGTAAAGTGAGGTGAAAGGCAAGGACCAATTTTTGTAGGTAAAAATATTGGCCTTAAAGATGTCCTTAAATGAAAATAAGAAACAAACTATGGTCAATATTCTTCTTAACTAAATAGCTATGCTTCAAAAGTTTTAAATTTACCAGAATTCATAAGGAACTCAAGCAGCTGTTCCGGAAAAAGACAATCAATCCTATTAAAAGAGGGGAGAATGAGTTGAAAAAAACCACTCTCTAAAGATGACATACGAATAGCTAAAAGTCATATGAAAAAAATGTTCATCCCTCATTGTAAGAGAAATGCAGATCAAAACAACAATGAGATATCACCTAACCTCAGTCAGAATGTCTAAGATTAAAAAAACAAAAAATGATAAGTGCTGGCAGGGGTGTGGTGAAAAGGGAACTCTTGCACTGCTGGTGGGAATGTAAATTGGTCCAACCACTGTGGAGAACAATTTGGAGATTCCTCAAAAATCTGCAAATAGAACTACCATATGATCCAGTAATCCCACTCCTTGGTATCTACCAGAAGGACAGAAGAATACTTAATCGGAAAAGTGCTTGCATATCGATGTTTATTGCAGCACTTTTCACGATTGCTAAGTCATGGAAACACCCCAAATGCCCATGAACTGATGAATGGTTAGAAAAACTGTGGCACATATACTCAATGGAATACTATTCATTCATAAAAAAACAACAAAACCCTGGCTTTTGAAAGGAAGTGGATGAATATGGGAGACTTACTGCTGAGTAAAGCAAGCCATGCTATGAAGGAGAGGCACTGTATGTCCCCACTTAATATATACCAAGTGTCTGCACTCTTAAAAAAAAAAAAAAAGATATCTGTTTATCATTATTAAGGAAAAGATATTTTTGTGGTTAAAGAAATGTGGAAAACATTAAAAAAAAAACATGATTACGGTATTAATACATGGTACAATGGTAGGAGGGAGGGTATCAGGAAAAAAATTAACAGATAAAATTTAGAAGTTTTCTGTTGGTGATAATTTTTATTTTAATGTCTCTGATTTGACTAATATGCACTGTGTTCATTTTGGAAAAAAAATTATATGCTATAAAGATGTACAGTGATTAAGTGTAAATTTTTAATGTAAAAAAAGAAAAACTTGTTTAATTAAATTGTTAATAAAATATCAATATCAATGAAAAAATTTTTAAATTTTATTTATCCCATGAATGAGAGGAATTCTAATGTGGCAGTACACACCTAGCCCAGCCAGCCCAGGCTGCAGTCACACAGGTGCCCACATTCTCAGGGAAGTCTTTGGACATGAACCAGTTACCTTCCCATGTGAGTCTGCCTCACAGGCCCTTGCATCACTTTAAAAAGTGTTATTTTATTGGTCAGTTGAAAATTATTTTTATAATTATTTAAAACAGTTATAAAAGCTAATTCTTTGTTATATTTTCAGATGAATCATTTGTTGTTGGTTTACACTCGTCTTTTGATGATCTTTGTGGAAACTCAGAATGTGGAAATCAAGAAAGGAAATTGATAGTGTCCACTAATGAAGTTAAAAGTGATATGCGTATTTCTTCACCTGTATTGAAAACAGATAATAGTCACTTGCCAGCACCTTCCACTTGCCTCAGTCAGTTAAGTCCTCAGAAATCCATGAGTAGTCTTTCAAAGGAGGAAATAAATTGTGAAAGAAACACTTCCGGTGAAATGGTCACCCCTGACAGAAAGCAAGTTGAAGGTATATCTAAGGAAATGTTTTATGAGAACTATAGTTTGGCTCCTGCCTTGTTGACAAAAGACTGTCATTTGGTACATTCAAGATCTAAGAGTTCCTCAGCAAAAAGAAAAAGAATGCCAGAAGACTTAGATTTACCTCCCAAAGAAAAACTAAAGAAAAAGAGGTACAGCAGGAAGTCTATTGTGCCAAGGTTGCAGATGTTTGAGTCAGAAAACAGCCAGCAGCTTATGACCAGATCTGCCATTGAGACTTTGGATTTTGGGGTGTCCTCATATGATGATTATTTTTCTCCTGATAATCTTAAGGAAAGGAATGTAGAGAATCTTCCTCCGAAAGCTCAGCCCTCAAGTCCTTCTCTATTTAACTGCAGAAAAAGTCTTTCTAAGAGGGAGAGAGCAAGCATATTAGAAAAGTCTTATTTTTCCTGCATTAGTATTAAAAACAGGTCAGTTGACATTACTGATTTAACAGCGAAAGCTAGCTCCAGTCCTCAGACACCTACAAACGATGAAGGCAATATAACTTCAAGTTGTGTGACTTCTGAGAATCCATATGTCACTGAAGAATCTTCATGTTGTCGTACACAGGCTGGCCCTCAGCAGAGGGAGAACACATGCTCAGATGAACACAACTTTTCTTATATTATTGATGACCCTACTCATCTAAAAGGGCACCATGGTGATTTAACTTCTTTGAAAGGAAACAATAAAGAAATAAAAGAATTGATTGATATAAAAAGCATGCAAAAAGAAGGTACCACTTCCAAAATGTTGAACTCTTCTGAAGGTCAAGCACAAAGTGATTATAAGCTAAAATTTGTAGATGATATTAATGTGGAAAAATCTACAGAAGAGAAAGAAAACGTATCCAGAGGACATAGTGAAAGTATGTGAATCTCCTTTTTGAAGTGTTTTTTGCTATACGAATATGTAATACTGCGTTCCTATTTTATATTTATCACAGCTTTTTCATAATTTAAATTATTTTTCTTCTCTCCTTTTTTATTTCAAGGAATGTGTGCTTGATGTTTTCTAATAAAAAAAAAATTAGGAATATGACTTGCCATCCTAAGGAATTTCTAAATTTATTGGCCAAATCTGTTGTCATGAATACATTTAGCTATGTTTTGTGCTTCTTACAGATCAAAAGGATGAGTAATATACCTAATAGTAATAATTGACCACAGTGAATGCTTTCTTCTTTTTCCATTGTAGTTTCTCCCTATTATATGATTATTGTATAAAGAGGCATACAAATAGGATTTTTTTGTTTTGTTTTGTTTTTGTTTTTAAGGATTATTTATTTATTTATTTATTTTCATTGCACCAGAGAGAGAGAGATAAAGGGAAAGTGAGAAAATAAGCTATCAGGTCCAGGATTCTAACCATGGTCAGCCATGTGGGGAATCCAGTACCTCAACTACCACACCACCTGCTGACCCCAAATTAGGGGTAGTTGTTTTGTTTTTAGAGAGAGATTTTTGCTATAGGGCGTGTGCGCTTGCCAGAGAAGCAGAAGGACAGAAAGTGAGAAATCACTCCCTAGGGGAGTAGCTGCGCCACAGTCCCTTCTTTGTTCTCCCCTTGGGATTTTTGGCATGTATGCACACACACACCAGTGTGAGTTTGAAGCCTCCAGGTCCTGGAATCAAACTTTGGTCAGCCATATGAGAGTCCAGTGATATAACCATTACTCAATCTTCTAGTCCCAATAGAATCTTGTTTTGTTTTTGTTTTTGTTTTTGTTTTTTAAGACTTTAAGACTGAAAATTAAGGTAGCATAAGCCACCAGGACTATTATTAGCAAGAAAGAGAAGGTATGAGAAAGTAAATTTGGTAATATGTTATCAATATTTATTTTTCAAGACACTGAGCAATGTTAACTGTATTTTTTCAACATACTTTCACTCTGGTAAGGTTTGTTACAGGCCTTGTTTGACCTCCACTTATTTTGCTTTAAGCATATCATTTAAACAGATCTATTCCTATCTGTAATTTAACTGTAACTTTAACAGTGAATTATGTGGGGCCAGCAGGTGGCATGGTAGTTGAGGCACTGGTCTCCCACATGGCTGACCCATAGTTCAAGTCCCAGACCTGGCCGCTTGCTTTCTCACTTTCCTTTTCTCTCTGTCTGTCTGTCTCTGGTCAAAACTGAAGGATAATGATAACAAATAAAATTAAAAATAAATAAATCTTTAAAAAAAGAATGAATTATGTGATGAAAACCATAATAATGAACTATATAGTAATCCTAGCAAAAGTAGCACAGGTAGATTTCAGCAGTCAAATAGAAGAAACTTGAAATTTAAGTGTCTTTACTTAAGGATTTGGTTAAAATTTGAATTCCTAAAGGTCAAGCTTACATTTCATCATTTCTCTATTCTTTAAATAGTTTTAGCCTATTGTTTGTATCTTAGCTTTTTGAACATGTATTAAATTTGACAAACAATATTTTATGTTTCATTAAGCCCAGTATGTGTTTTCAAAATATTTATTTTAAAATCATGTTGTCTCTAAAGTTAACATAAAATAGTAGATATGTAGAATTGTTTCGGAATTATGTATATCTTTTTTTTTTTTTAGAGGTTTTTGCCTTAGAGTGTATGTGCTCGCCAGAGAGAGACAGAGACAGAGACAGTGAGAGGGAAAGTGAGAATCACCCGCTGGGTTGGTGGCCATGACACAGTCCCTTCTCCTCCATGCTTCTGGATTCTTGGGTGCACTTGCACACGTGCCTGGTGTGATTTTTCAAGTCACTGGGTCCTGGAGTAGGACTGTGGTCAAGCATGTAGGAGTCCAGTGACATAACCACTACACCATCAGCTGATCTTGTATATTATGTTCTTAAAACTTGCATTCTTATTCTCTTGTCTTTTTCTTGTATATATTTAAAGCTTTTGAATATTTAATGACATGAAAATGTAAATGAAGTAGAAAAATCTGATTTCAAACAGTGTGACTCACTCTAAAATCATGGTATTATCAAGACAGAGTGTAATAGTCCTTGTAAGCAGGTTTATTTCTTGTTCCAGGACTTAGGGCCCAGTGTCCAGCTCTCAGGGGTCTGACGTAAGTGAAGAAAATGAGAGACAGGTGCAGGTTTACTCACTGGGATGTGGGGGAGATTTGAAGATTTGCTAATGATGTGATGTATGCCATCACTCAGTAGAGTACAGGCAGGGCCCAGTTTGACCCAGGCAGAAACATTCTGAAAGTGCCAATATAAGGGCATCTTCTAGAATCATCTGCTTTAGTTCATCTCCTTCCAAAGAGAAGGAAAAGCATTGGCCTCCAGGATAGGAAAAGGTTAATATTTTTCTAGCTTAAGTCTAACCCCTTTCTTTTATTATAAAATTAAAGCTAATTAATCTTTTAAATTGTACATTATCAGCCCAGTTGTGACTCAGGTGAACCAAGTCTCCTTGGAAATCTACAATAGATGGGAAAAAAAACTAATTCTTCAGTTTAAGTGGACATTCCCTACCTCCTAAAATTATGGAATAGTAAAGACTACTCTTTATATAAAACTATAGTTATCTAAATTTACATGGTAAAATAAAATGCTTTTTACAATTTCTGTTTTCAGTTCACCTTTACTTGCTAATATTAGTAACTAAGATAGTGATAATAAAGGTTTCAAGAACAAATTGCAAAGATTTAGTCATAAACATTAACAGAAATTGAGGGAGAGAATTTTGTTTTTTAAAGTAATTTTTAAAATCATAGTGATCTTATTTTTACATTTTTCTCTAATTTTATGAAAGATACCACAAATATATTTCCAATAAAAAAAAAAATTCCTAAAGAGCCAGCCAGTGGCATGGTGATTAAAGGCAACTGAATCCCACATGGCTAACTGCGTGGTTTGAGTCCTGGACCCAGCAGCTTGAACAATATGCTAGGCACGTGTGCATCCATGATCAAAATCTCTAAAGAAGGAAGAAAAAGAAATGGAGGAGAAGCAATTATAACTTGACTACCCTCCCATGGGAGGTTCTTTCTCACTTGTATTTTTTTCTCTGGTGAGTACACGTGCCCTCTGGCCAAAAGAAATTTAATCATTAAGAAGAATAAAATTTTTTTCATCTCATACTTCTTGCTTACCTTCTTTTATTAATTCATTTAATAACTACAGAAATAAGTTGTGTACTTATGATGTCCCTGGCACTGCCATAGCTTGTAGGAACATAGCAGAGAGTTCCATTCCCTTCATTGAGGCTATGTTCTAATGAAGACAACAGACAGTAAGTGAATATATAATAGTGTCAAATAGTGAGCAATAAGTGATATAAAGGAAAATATGACCATAAAAGTGTGCACGGTTAAAGAAGGCTGCCGAAAAAGTCTTCTCTGAGGAGGTGACATTCCGTCACAGGCCTGAGGAAGCCTTGTGGCTAGCTACCAAAGCCATGTTTCAAACCAAGGTAGCAGATAGAACTAATCTTCAGAAATAGAAAAATGCTTACAACAACTACTAGGAGACCCAGTGTAGCCACAGCTCTGTGCTGAAGGAAGAGGGATCAAAAGGTAGCCAAGAACCAGGTCTTTAGGACCTTCTGTCCCTAATATGTTGAGTTATTTTGTTTTGAAGTGTGATGAGAAGCCATTGGGGGTTTTAAACATGGGAGTAACCAAATCTGAATTATGTTTTAAATGTAACCCTGGAGGGCTAACCAGTGGCATGGTGGTTACGGTGGCTGGATTTTTCTGTAATGGGTCACAAAATAAATATTTTAAGCTTTGTGGACCAAGATGCCAAATAGAGATGTGTAGGTACTTATGTAGACAGTTATGTAATGAGAGAGACATTTTCACAGAATTTTTATTGGCAAACTTAAATATTGAGTAAATTTTTTATGTAATAAAGGCCTGCTGATACAAGAATATAATTCTTTTTTACTTGGAAGAAGAACAGCAGTTCACTTAATTGGATTTAGAGTATTCCTATTGCCGAAATGTATTGCAAATGTGTATTTATTAAGACTTGTAGGGACCAGCAGTTAGCGTAATGGCTATGTCGCTGGACTTCCATGTAGTCGACCGGGGTTCACATCCCAGACCCGGTGGCTTAAAACTCATGCCGGGCATGTGTGCGTGCGTGCCCAAGATCCCGAGAGAAGAATGGAGGAGAAGGGATTGTGGTGTGCCCCTGGGGGAGACTTCTCGCTTTTTGTCTCTCTGTCTCTCTCTGTCTGGCAAGCATATGCACCCTATAGCAAAAAAAATAACCTCTCCAAATTAAAAAAAGAAAAAAAACACTTGTATAATGATTTTTTGTTTTTTTTTCTATTTTTCTTTTTTTCTCTTTAATTTTTTTTTCTTTTTTTGGAGAGGTGTTTTTGCTATAGGGCGTGTGCGCTCGCCGATGTTGGTTTTTTTATAAGATTTTTCTCTTTCACTTTTCAAAGTGCCATGTAGATAGTTACTGCCAGATACTGATAACATTTCATTAGCAGATGATTTTTATTGAACATATTCATCATTTAGAAGGCTTTTGTGGAATTCCGTTAGCTTGCTTTTTTTGGTATGTGCCTTTTATCAGGTACTTATAGTGCAGATTTATCACTTCCAATTGAAAGTTAAGTGGGAGCTCCTCAATTGTGCATTTAAATCAATATTAAAATAATGGAATTTCCCCCATTGTTCTCGCATCCAGTTTGAAAAACATAGTTTGAGCTTAAGACAAATGTTTACACAAAATTTGCATGGGGACGGAGAGCTCACTTTTTATTAACTTTTGTCACAGCAGACAGGAAGTACACAAAGCAGCTTGATGTTACATATTGGAACGACTTCATGCCCACCACCTGACACTGCTTAGCATAGCTCTTCAGGCAACCACCTGCAGTTGGTTTGAACTGCCAGGTAGATAAAGCTGATCAG